TCGGTCAAAATCTTTGGATTAAATGTTGTTCATAACACCCATACTGTATATTTTTTAAATGAATCTTCCATATAATCACAAATGTTTTCCCCAGGAGAGAAATATTGAAATGTTTTTATATCATTAATATAACAACAAGTAGCTCCATTGGTCATAGTTTAATCCATTTCCCTCGTTGATATGTGGTTGTACAGAGCAAGGTGCGCTCCCGCTACTGGGGATGCATATCCGCGGTCCGCTAATCCGTGACCTCTGCATTAAACCGAAGCCAAAAGTAACGAGTAACGGTTGTTTTAATAATGTAAGGAATAGAAGGTACAGATACTCGTGAGAAAATGTAATGAGTAGAAGTCAGAAGTAGGAAGAAAAATTAGTAATGGAGATACCTAAAAAGTGTACTTAAGTACAGTAACGAAGTATTTATTCAGATTCCAAGCCTAATTGGCAGAGGTGTCAAGTAACGAAGTATAAATACTTCGTTACTTGACACCTCTGCCAATTAGGCTTGGAATCTGAGGGACATAAAGACAGTAGAAAAGTAATCCTAATCAGATCTTAATTCCTATGCTCCACTAATCTGGAACAAGCTCCCAGAAAATTGTAAAAGCACTAAAAACCTTTATTGCTTTAGGTTGAGACTGAAAAAATATTTGTTTAGATTGGTCTTTGACTGTGCTACCTAAACATCATGAGATTGTAGTCTAACTTTTTTTCATTATATTATCTATCATTTTATTAATTTATATATTTTTTTCTACCTTGCAATGTACTTTATAATGTGTGATGCCTAATATGTACTGCACTTTGAATTGCTTTGCTATTTATTGATGTGAAATATAAATTAACTTGCTTTGATTTGTCAAAACATTTATTTTTCTTTTTTATTTAAAATTGTTATTTTACATAAGACACAAAGATAATACATAATATATCTCAGTATTTTAAACCATTTAGTCAAAGCCTCATTAGAAAAACCAAAATGTATAATCACAGGATTAATTCCAAGAATACTTCATAATAAATAAGACAATGAAAGTTATAAGTTTACATTAAAAAAAAAAACAGAAAAATACTTATTTTAAATTTTAGATAAGGAGATGACAGAGAAAATGTATAATGACCTTAGACTTAAAAGACAAACAGTTCTGGCCATTTGGAAATATGTCCCTTGTTAGCTAAGTTATTATTGCCAACAACCTAATGTCCTCTGATTATAGATAATACACATAGCTTTAATTTGGTATTTTACTCTCTCTCTCCAAGAGAAAACATCTAGTATTTTAGCATCCTTTCAGCTTCTCCAATATTCAGGGGTCACCACAGAAAGTCATTATAACTTGATCTCAGACTTGGAAAAGTTTTTACACGGAGTGCCCTTTCTCACACAACCAGAATTTACACCCTGGTCCCCCACACCATGGTCAAAAACTTTAATCACTTCACCATGAGGACTTTTACTGTGACTAATATGCTCTCTTTAATAATGTGTTGAGCTAAATTAAGCAAATAAAGTGGCTAACCATGCCATTAGCGTTTGATTTTCTTTTATATTAAAATCAACTGAGATTAGTCCTTTTGTGTTCTTGTTGTTTGCATTTGTCACAATCTGTAGGGTTTCGGCTCTGGTTTTCTTTTGTTCCTGTTTTCCAGTATTTTGCTATTGTCTAGTGTATTCCTTTTATTCTTCCCCTTTTCTGTCATTTCTAGAGTTTGCTATATCAGTTGATTTAAATGTCATTGTTAGGTATTTCATGCACATTTACATAGTTTGTAGGACTGTTGCCTTGCAGCAAGTGGATTCTGGGTTCAATTCCCAGCCTGGGGTCTTTCTGCATAGAGTTTGCATGTACTCCCTGAGCATGCGTGGGTTTTCTTCGGGTACTCTGGCTTCCTGCCATGGTACAAAAACATGACTTTTATGTTATTAGGCATCTCTAAATTGTCTTTAGGTGTGAGTGTGTGTATGCATGGTTTTATGTCTTTGTGTTGCCCTGCGATGGACCTGTCCAGGGTGTACCCCGTCCCCGCCTCTCATCCATAGAATGCCTGAGATAGGCACCGGCCCAACTGAAACCTTGATGGAATAAGCTGGAGAAGATGGATGGATGGATGGATGGATGGATGGACGGACGGACGGACGGACGGACAGATGGATGCTATTTTATTATTAGCATTATTATCATCCTTGTTTATCTTCTCCTGCTGTGATCTTTAGTTAGTTGTTTGGATTTAGTAAAATGTTTGTTTACTTCATGTTAGTAGGTTTATTCTATGTTTCCTTCTAGTGCTTTACAAATCGTAATCACCTGATCCCTCATCTCCTTATCTTGATCCTCAGCTGTGTCCACTGCTCTTTGATTGCCTCAACCTTGCCCTCTCCCTCTCTCTCTCTAAGTCATCAGTCATCAAGCCCTTATAAATAATTTTGTGGGTTTTTTTTTTTATTGAGGAACTTTAGTCCCACTGCATCTGGGTGCTCCTGCAAACACATCCTCACAGTATGCCTCTTTTTATGAAACCCAGTTAGTCAATGCAGGTGGCTTCTCCCACTGAGCCAGGTTGTGGTGAACGTTTCTTTCCATTAACAAGGACTTCCTTTTTTACGGTCACTGCACGCTCTGTCTGCTCCATTTGAGGAATTGCTGTAAAGTCAATGACAAAATGAATGCTGTAAGTGACTGGCTCACTGACAGTGAATTACTGAAAGACAGAAAAACCTTTAAACCATTTCAAAAATGAAACTGAAGCTGACTGCCTTGTTTCATATCTTGTATCTATTTAGATTGTAAGTTAATGACCTCAAATCTTTCCATAGGATATGACTTAATACCTTTGGATCATGTGTGGTGTAAGAATGAACTATTTAAACTGAATTTAACTAAATTGAGCATTTTAAAAAAAAATCACAGAAAGGGGTTATTTTAAGGAAACAAGTAGCGAAGAAAGAGACGCCAGTAAATGTGTTAAAGCAAAGTTGAAGTTAACAACTTGAAATGTAAAAACTGAGCACATCATAGGCACAAATTGTGAAATTTTCACTAATTAGGATTGAGCTTCTGAGAACTACCTGAACTTTCAGTCCCAGTTATTTGCCTGGAGGCGATTACTGATTTTAACATCACTTTGAATAAGTTCTGAATATAGTAAATTACTATATATTATACTATATAAAACAGGACTTAAGATTTGGCAGCAATCTAATCTTAACCAGACAGAGAAGATTGCTCAAATTATAGCATTGGGCTCCTTGTTACCGTTGCAGGGGGAAATGAATGAAGAATGAACCCAGAATGAGGGTTAAAACAGGTTTTAAAAGATCATACAGTACACACATATTTTTTTTAGAGACAAGTCCTCACTGGGAGTTATTGGTAAGACAATGAAAGTAGACAGACGCCAAGGTTTATTCATATCTACACACAATACCAAGTTTGCCTAAATATTTCACATCTGTTACATGCAGTGTCAGTCAATTATCTGTTAATGTCTGAAAAAAAATGTCAACATCTGAGCAACATGCAGATCCATATAATGTCCAACACCCGTCTTCATTCATCGTCAGTTTCATTACCATTTATAACCTCTCCTGGATGTTTAAACACAATGTATAACATCCCAGACATCCCAAATTTGTAATCATGGATTTCTCACATTTGAGACATTGCCAGGTCAACAGCAAAGTTGCAGAGCATTAAAAATGCATTCTTAGTCATCATTATACCAAGTTTTCATACCTTGTGCTTGTGTTAGCCCCACAGAAAATGTGCAACACACTATAGTCCAAAGAATCAGGGCCCACCTAAGAAAAAGGACAAACATTTTAGAAAACGTGTGCAATTAAAGAAAATACAGTTGGCATATTTACAATTAAGCTTTCTTCTATTCTTTAAAGTTTTTATCATAAAATGTTAAAAGGCATTTGCAGGTCTATATTTAGGTATTTCAGATCCTCTTCTTTTGAATATAGCGGCAGCAGTGGAATTGTATTCTGATCAAATTCCCTATTTAGGTCTGAGGTTGTTAGGTAAGTTATATTTAAATTCCATGCCAATGGTATGCAATATTTAGGATTGTTTGGAATTATTTACTGTCGATTTGCAAATACCTCCCAATAAAAGCACTTATAATATCCCTCAACCTGTTTCAGAAAAAACTACTGTAATGCTTTAAAACAGTGAAAAGTCCACAAAAAGGCTTAAATCCCAAGCAACAGAATTTTTGCTCTGTTTTTCAGAAGACCTTTTTTACACCTACCCTGCAGTCTTGGTCAAATCTGTTGGCTTACACTAGAGCAATATGTAGTTGGAGCGCTAATGCTACGTGAGTGTGAAGCGACAGAATTTACAAAGGCTCCTGGATAGGTGTCAAAAAGTCTTCAGAAAAAACTGAGCTAAAGTCTGATTACCTCCAATTTAGCAGTTTTGTCGCTGCTATAACCAAGACAAAGGAGGATCTGCATAGGCAATGTACCTACAAGAGTATTAATACACCTTAATGTATTTATCTTACACGGTATTGTATTGGAATATATTGTGAAAGACCAATACAAATGTTTGCATAGTAATGAAGCAGAAGATAAAGAATCCTGTCTCTTTCATATGCTTAACTCTGACAGATGTGTTATGAATTTGTATTTACCCTTCTTTGTTCTGAAACTCCTAAACACAATTACAGAGGTTAACTAATTAAAAACAAAAAAGCAGCGAAGAAAGCTAATTAAAATGACAGAAGTTCAGGTGAGACTAATTATATTGAAATAAAGCTGATTAAAACCCTGTATACATTTTTAATTAAGCCATGAAGAGGGCAGAGTACAAAGAAATTGTTACTTTAAGAAAGACAAAATGTTACGCTGAGGAGCTGTTTTCCAAATAGAGCTTTATAAGCACCCGTTCCTATAAGGCACAATGCGTAAATGTCCCATCTGCTTTTATAAGTAGTAACTATTTTCCTTTCACATTGTGCATGTATTTATGATGCACAAAGATACACAAAGATAGCTATTGGTTTGCTCAACCAAGATTCCTTTTGGTCCTATTGCCAGAATAATATAAAAAATTTAACCAATCTACATCATAACGACTGGAAGCAAACTCTAAGCCCACTCTGTGTGGTAGGGCTGGCTTTTATATGTTTTTATCTATTTACCTTAAAAAGGGGGTGGGAGGGGCATATTAACTTGTTTTAAACATAAAGTGTACTGTAGCCTACTTCAATTGTTTGTGTGGTGATGGTACTCCTTATAGAAGCATGAGGGTCTTATTCATTTGTAAGACGGCATTGGGTGGGTTAGCAGTTTCTCTAATAGTGTTTTATTTTATACAGAGATTGATCTATTAAGGAAAGCTGTGCGGTAACAGACATTTTATACAGCAGGCTTTTTTTCCACCGCAAGTTTCAATATTTCCCTCTACTGCCAAAACTCTATTCTTACTACTCCTTTATGTGAAGGCCCAGGTGTCTACCTCCATAAAGATACACAAGCAAAGTACAATAAATTGTGTGTGGTCCGTTTAGCTCAATTCCTGTTCATTAAAGGAATAGTATAGGATTTCCTGAAAGCGCGCACATGCGCGCTCACGACGCTACGGAAGCCGGCAGACCAAACCAGCGCATTCAGCTCGGCAAAGAACTCATGCTCTTCCTCAACACTGAAGTCCTCAGACATTTTTCTTTCGTTGTTTCTTTCTTTGCACAGGTAAACAGCACATTTCTTCTTCTACGCTTGCATTATTGGCAGAGCAGACGCTGAATGCGCACTTTCATCTGGCTTGGTCTGCCGGCTTCTGTAGCGTCGTGAGCACGCATGTGCGCGCTTTCAGGAAATCCTATACACTACTGTTTATGCTCTAAAAACATTCTAAATGACTTCGTTTCGAGTAAATTCTGGATGCTACCCACTCAGGACACTTGGAATACATTGGACGAGCAGTATGGAGGAATATTGACACGTTTTTTGTGGACTTTTATGGACCTTTCTGTCTCGGTCACCATAGACCTCCATTATTTGAATGTCAGCAGACAGCAAGAAGCCTCCCAGATCTCCAGATGCATTTGAGATATCAAAAAAGTACTCCAGAGTGTTGTTCAGCATGGGGGTGAGTAGAAAATGAAGGCTAATCATGTTTTGGGTGTACTATTCCTTTAAGATCTGAATTACAGGATTTCATATGGTATGGTTTTCCGTTCAGATTGGATGGCAAATCGTGTCCAGTGGGTTCAGGTTACAGTATACAATATACAGAGCAAATTACAAGTCAGGGAGAAAACCAAAAAAATGTCCTTTTTGGTTTTCTTTGGATGCTTGAACAATTAGCACATTTATTAGACTTGAAAGTTAGAAGCTATCTGCAGCCGAGGAACCTTTGGACACCCTGGAAAATATGTTTGCTGATACACTCCACCAAATCAGTTTAAGCTATTTTGCTAAATGAATGGGTAAGAAATTGCCAACTCATTTAGCTGATGAGTCAGCTACTTCATTAGGATGGGATTAAATTGAGCTCAGATAACAAAGTAAAAAATCTTGGAGTTATTTTGATCAGGAGCTGTCATTTAAATCCCATATCAAAGAGGTTTTTAGAATTTTCTTCTTTTACATGCGGACTATTGTAAAAATTGTAAATATCCTGTGCTGCTGTCATCAACACCTTTGTCTCTTGATATTGGAGCTTGGCTTGTATTTTAGTGCAGTCCTGTTTCTCTGACTGTGACTAACTGTATATGCTCTCTTTCATCCTCTGACATGGGAGCTGGCTCAGCGCTCGTTTGCGTGGCTGTGTGTTTCCTGGACAGGGCTGCCTGTGGAGCCCGTTGACAGTCACCTTTTGTATTTCTGCTTCTTTCTGTATCTCTGCTTCTGTTTCCTTGAACCCCAGTCGGCCTCAGCAGATGGCAGCTCGCAATGAGCCTGGTTCTGCTGGAGGTTTCTTCCTATTAAAAGGGAGGTTTCCTCTCCACTGTCACTAAAAGCATGCTTGGTGTGAGGGATTGCCTTCGAGTCAAAGAGTTGATGAATTCAACTGGTTTTCCTTAGATAAAAAAACTTTAAATCAGTTTGATTGTATTATCTGGAATTGTCTGTAAAGTGCCTTAAGATTATTTTTTTTCTTGTGAATTAGTGCAATATAAATAAACTGAATTGAATTGAAATGAAATTCAAAATTTTGTTGTAGTTCCTTCAACTACAAGTGCAGATATTTTGGGGTAGAGGCATACAGTACCCTGCAATACCTGTTGGAGACGCGAGAAAAGGGTGTTTCATCAAACAAGGGGTTTCAGCAACACGAAAGTGTTGAGGGGTTGGTACTTACACGTTGTAGATAAGTCCCTGTTTCAATACAACTAAAATCAAATGCTGACGTGGAACAACAGCATGTAGTCAAGTTTGACAAGTCAAGTTCTGCTTATTACCTGGTTAATTATTTCATGTGTGTTGAATTACATTTACATGGAAATACTGAATGTTACAGGCTTTGACTCACATGAAGTACAGCGTTGACACAAAGGCAGCTGATTCAAAATTCAAACGATTCAACATCTACATTTTTTTCAAAATTGTCTGTGTTTAATTTTTTATTTGGAATACCACATGTTTGTTTTCTATTTGCATTTTTGCTTTACTTGTATATCTCTATAATAAAACAATTTTTTCATCCATTTTCCATCAAGCTTTATCCAAGCTTGGGTCGCAAGGGGTGCTGGTGCCTATCTCAAGCTGTCAATGGGCGAGAGGCGGGTTACACTTTGGACAGGTAGCCAGTCCATCGCAGGGCAACACAGAGACAAACAACCATTCATGCGCACACTCACATCTAAGGAGAATTTAGAGAAGCCAATTAACCGTCAGGGTGTCTTTTTTATTGACTGTGGGAGGAAGCCGTAGTACCCAAGGAGAACCCACGCATGCACAGGGAGAACGTACAAACACCATTCTGCAACTCACGTTCTGCAAGGCACCAGTGCTACGCACTGCGCCAATGAGCAGCCCGCTATTTTTCATAAGATTATTATTGTAATGCAAAACATATAAAGTGTGAGGTTTAATAATACTTTCTGTGGCCCTATACAGATAAAGCAAAAATAACAATACACATTCTGTCCATTGTTTGACTTTGAGATTCAACTTTTTTTTTAGCATGCATATGACCTACTTATGCCTGTTTTTAAATTACATTATTTCCATTTAGTAAGCTATATAACCTTGATATAACTCCAACATCTTTAGTTTGTCTTGAATAAAATCATCTGCATCCTGTTATGTTATACACAAAGTTTTAGAATTTAATTGATTGCACTGGCTAATTTTGTACTGTAAGCTTCCTTTAGGCAGAAGCTGTTTTAGGAAATATATTTTGAGTTTCTGCAGAGAGGCACAGGAAAGTCTTGGTTGGCCTTCAGTTACAGTATAAGATTTAAAAGACTACAACTAAGACTTTTAAAAGGTTTAGAAACTAAATCTAAATTTTAGGCAGAAGTGGTTTGTCACTTAAATTGTTATTATATATTTAACGGGTTTAGAATGATGCAACATTTTGGCCTTAATGTAAAGAGAAAAAAAACTATCTCCCCTCTGGCCAGCTGAGAGAGACGCACAGTAGGGAGGAGAGGAGGAGGGGATGATGAGGACATGAGCGTCTCTGCCTCCAGCACATCCCCAGCAAATCAGTCCCAGATCGTTTGGCAGTTCATTCTGAAACAAGTTGTGGAGCAGTTCAGCCTAACAGTTCAGACTTTCATTGAACTGTGCTGAGAACATGCAGAATTGTTTCCACACGTTGTTTATCTGCAGCTTATTAAAATATCCCACTGGCTCCGCTTCATATCTGCATACAAATCTAAACCTTAGTCCAGCAGTTACTCTAACAAGGCTTTTTAAACGTTACACGCCCACTAAAAACATAATAAAACGCATTGTAGTATTGGCATAGGCATGTTAGGAACACATTCTGGAATTAATCTTGAATCTTTTAAAGCAAAAGGAATGAACAGATTCTGTCTGTAGACTCACCCTCCGACTCCAGTGGCTTTTAGTTTGGAGTTCAGGACATTTTGCGGCTCCATAGCGGTTACTTCATTCTTTCCTGGTAGTTTTTATTATCCAGAGGAGGTCAACTTTTTCCATCCCAGGTAATCCTTGTGGAGCTCTGCGCAGAGCGAACGCGCAAAAAAATATAGAAAAGTAGGAAGAGAAAATGAGTAGATCAGGGATCAACTAGTTGAAATGCAGCGCGCTGTCATTGCTGCGTCCTTTGCTCTGCAGCCTACATGGAGATAACCACTGGATATGAAAGACGCTCCACCTGTGCGCTCCTCTATTTAGTTTGTGCGTTTTATCTCCATGCGTCTGGCAAATATGGATAGCAGCAGGATTAAATGATCTGCAGCCTTCCTGGCAATCACAGGATGACGCGAAAGAATGCGAGGACTTCCCAAAATGAAAGTTTATTGTGGACTCAGAGAAATCTGGACACGGAGGGGGGGTGAGGGGCGGTAGGGGGTGGGGTGCACCTCCCTCTGTGGCCCTCAGCTGACATCCAGGGAAGCACTGGAGCTGTTCTTTCAAAAAGAAGTAAATTTTTTTCAGACCGAGTGGATTCATGCACAGTTGTTTTAAAATGTTCTTATAGTTTGATTGTAAATGTTTGAAACTTGCACACAGGGCCACACAGATTTAAAAGGCAGAGGGACTCTAGCCCTTACAGTGCCAAACCACCCCTGAGAAAAATCTTTTTTTTATTTATAAAATCCATTTCTCAAGTATTTATGCTCTCTCTATGCATATGGCTAAGTTTGAAATTATTCATAGCTTTGGCTGTTTAAAACTAAAATAATTTCTCATTAAGTTTTTCCCCCTTAAAATTCAGTTCAAGCATACCGGTACTTAAAATAAAATTACACCTAAGTTATATAGTGGTTTATGCAGTCTGTCCTTGACCAGCTCTGGAGCCTCTTATTGAAGACACTCTGGTGTACACAACATTCTGGTAAAGACTATTCTCTGGGTTTTCCTTAAGGTTTAATTCAGAAAGAATTGTTCTTTGAAAAAATTATCTGCAGAGATTCTAGAGAGGCACAGAGAACAGAGCCTGTCTATGTTAAGTTTGTTGAGCTTCTTTAAGTCAGTTACTCTGATCCTGCTCCCCAACCACAAAATGGCAGAACAAACCTCACATCCTGCAACAAAATAATGGAAGATAAAACCTTAATTTGCCAATTTGCCAAGGGGTTTATATTATTGGATAATTATTAAACCATAGTTAATAATGTTTTATCTGCTGTTAATATTGGTGTTAGTTATTATATAATTAAATCACTGTTTGGCACACCCTCTTTTATAGACTGCAGTTAAGTTCAAACAACTGTGAGTCGCTGGCATTACACTGCGCCTGACATGACTCTAGGCAAAAACGGTTTTAATTAGAACCATTCTAAACTGAATATTTGTTTATTATTATTTTTTTTTATTTACTGTGTATATTCACAGTGTAACAGTACAGTTTGCTCTCTAGCTGAGAGAATTAAATTTTTCTGGGCTTTTTGAAAAACCCGGTTTCAGTACAGATCATTACTGTTTTAATGGGGGGAACATCTAAATAAAGAATCTTGTGCACGTCCATCTAACGACAGCTTCCTCAGATCCCTTCTTCTAAAAATATTTTAATATACCCATCTAAAATACAACCAGAAATGAGTCTGAAAGTAGAAATGACCCGACATTGAGCTATGTCCTGCCGTTGAAACAGAAATATACATAATTACAACATTACTGTTATTCAAATCCTACATACGTTGCATCCCCTACTACTTTAGACCTCAATGTTGCTAAATTTTAAACTCCTAAAGTTGATAGATGATGTTATTGCCAAATTTGCATAACTGGTCATGTTTTGATCCAGCATTGGATAGAAGAATATTAGTATTGGCAAGACAAAAAGGGAATGAAAAGAACCAACTCAAAATATGTTTCTAATTAAACATTATTTCAATTATCATTAAATGATTCAATAAAATGTTTTGGTTTTACTATGAAGTTTAACCAGAGAATATACTCTATTGTGAGTGGACACAACTGAGAAGGACTCCTGGATGGGTGTTGAAACAGTTACTGGAAAACTGAGCAGAAGTCCAGTTACCTTCAAATTGGACTTGTTTTTACTTTTATTACTTTAGATAAGGGTTACTAATCTAGTCTACTTTAACAGACGATTCACCCACAGAAACCACAGTTAGATAAAAATACACAAAAATGTTGGGCTTCTCAAAATTGTTTAGATTTCTATGTTCGAATGTTGGAGCTCTTTTTGTATGAATTAATGTGTGATTGTAGCGTGGCATCAACATGTGGTTTTGCTTAGTGGAAGCCAGGTTGCATTGATTTGGACCTTCAGGTCATCTTTATTTTTCAAGTCTGTTGTTTTTCTCATCTTTCTCGTGAAAATACCTAAGACATTATCTAAGGGGTTCAGGTCAGGATAGTTTGCGGGCCCAATGCTCATCAGCACAGTGGTCATTGAACCAGCTTTTGTGGACTTGTACTACATCCTGCATGGAGTGTATGAAAATGTCCTGACAAGTTTACAGCAGATAACATCTTTCTGTAAAACAGGACTGACTGTGGAAGCTAGCAACACAGCTAGAGTCTTTCTTCAGACTCTTGAACTAAGATTTTCAGATGAAATGCAAACTTTACTTTGATCTGGAAAGAGGATTTTGAAAAACTGAGCAACTGTCTGGCTCTTTTTCTCCTTAGTCCAGGAAGAAAGTTTATTCACCCTGTGTTTTCTGGCCCTTTTGACACTGCTTCCATGTGAAGTTCCCATAAATTCTTAAATGTATTTGGCTTACTAATCTTCTCAAGGTTTAGGTCTTTCTTGTTATTGGAAAACCTCATCCTATTATGCATTTTCCTTTCACTAAACTTTTCTTGATTAATGTAGATATAGAACTCTGTACACAACCAGCTTTTTTAGGAATTATGTTTTTAGGCTTACTTGTCTTTCAGAGGGTGTCACTGACTACCCTCTGGACATTTGTCAAGTTAGCAGTCTTCTCCACGTTTGCTTCTGCTATGATATGGCTAATAAGCTCACATCGGTAAAAAAAAAAAAATATTTACAAATTTGTTTTATGTAATATTCTCATTTCTAAGACACATTATTTTATGTTTTAGTTATATGAAATAGATATGAACTATACAATACATTGTTACATTATCTCAAATATCAAAATAATTCTAATAAAAAACCCTTAAAAAAACTAAAGGAAATTAGATTTTATCTGTATTAAAACCAGTCAACTATATAGCACAAAAATATTACCTAAATTACCTGCTTATTTTTAATAAGATGTTAAGAAAGTGGTTGGATGTTTGGAAGTTTGAAGCCCAAATAAACTTTTCTCACTTCTCAACTGCTCTGTTTGCATATAATTCCTTTAGAACATGAACAAATCTGACATAAGTCTGACTATCTTTATAAGGCATTGCATTTGCATCGATTCTCACCGTACATAAAGGGATTTATAATGATATGCCACAAAGGCTTTAGTGTGTGTGTGTGAGTCAGGGCGTGTGTGTGTGTGTGTTTGGACGTGTTTTACCTACAATGTGGAGGAAGTATTATGTAAAACGTCCTACATGTGAGGACTTACCCGTACATATTGGGACATTCACCTGGTCCCCATATGGTAAAGTTCTGTCCTGCGAGTTGGGGTTAGGGTTAGGTATATGTTGCTATTAGTTAGGATTAGGGTAAAGGTCTGGGTTAGGCCATATAAAATGAATGCAAATCAATTAAATGTCCCCATATGTAATGAAAGCACAGCTGTGTGTGTGTGTGTGTATGCAATGAAATTCCTCCGCCAAAGAAAGTCCTCATTGACCCACCTTCAACAAAACGCTGTGACAGTGTCCAGGAAAGAACCAACAGAGCACTGATTCAGCTACCTGCAACTGGATCCCTCCTCCTCACACAGAGCTCCCTCACAGTTCATCGTCTCATGATCAGGAAGTAAGGGAGCTCACCACCTTGAAAGATCGCTTCCCATCTACCTGTTTCAGCAACATCAGATGTCAGCTTTTGTTACCACAAATCTAAGTTCTCAGACAGGAGAGGCAATGTCCTCAGAGCCTTCGATGGAGCCTAGATGAAGACCTCCAATCTTGAGAGTAAGGTTTCATGAGGATGATGTATCAACCATGACCTGAGGCAGGCATAATTTCTCTAGGGAAATACTCTTGCCTGCAAAAAAAGTTCAGCAAGAAGAAGCTGCATGTAGTAGTCTTCATGCCAACATAATCTAATCTTATTTTTGGATTTCCTATTCAATATTCAAATAAAACTAACAAATGCATTATATTATGTAGACATAATGCAAATAAAATACTAAAACAACCTGCTTATACAGACTTTATTAAGTCAGTTCTCCATTATTATTAGCAGAATTGTACCTACTGCAGTTTAATGAATTGCAAACCAAATATATTACATTATGTCATGGTAACATCTAATCCTGAGGGAAATGTTCGTAAGGTATGAGGTAATTTTGTAACATACTACAGTTACTGTAGCCCATCCTGAACAATATTTTAAAGCACCTCGTTGTAAAAGACCTGGCCCATTTTTTATTTTGGGTCTTCCAGGGCCTTTATGGGAAGTAAGATACACTAAAATGTTTTCCACCAAGTGATTTGTCCCCGTTCCTGCAGCCATAAAAGCAACACTTTGAAATGCACTGCACAACCTGGATTTGTAACTACTTATCCAAGAAAGATCTAAGAAATACTAGCTGCGAACAAAATTCTTTTGGGTTTCCCGAGTCCCAAAAGAACCTAATCAGCTTTCAAGTCTGAAAGCTGATTCTGTTACACTGAACTCAGTGAACGAATGTGGCAGATGCTAGATGGTGTGAAAGGGGTTTCATTAGGCTTTACAGCTGTATTGGCATATCCTCTATTTTTTATTCTTGTGACAGATTCCTTCTGACTCAACAGCAATTAGTTTTTAATATAGAACATATAGATCAATGCTTGCTTGTGTTTTAAGTTTTATTTGTAATGTTTAGAGCAATCATTAAAGAAAAATGTACCAGAATTACCGCAAGGTTATGTGGAAAGATTTTACAGAATTACTGAAGCATGTTAAAGTACAAGCAGCAAGATTTATTAAAATGCTCAAAGTATCTCAAAAGTGTGTAAACGTGTATTTAGTTTTTCAATTTTTTTTTTTATTTTTTTTTAACAAATCATGCTTCTGACATATGCTTTTAACATCTTTGCAACCATAAAATAGGATACATTTTTAAAAGCAATAAGTTCTGTCATGTCTGTTCTGTTTCAATCTTTGTAAGAACTTATTCAAATGAAAAGATGTTAAAATGTGACGTCTACTACTGCTTAAGAGCTACGTTACCTGTGTGTGGTTACACCATTTTATACTTCTTGC